TTATTTTGACAATGATGAGGAAGGGTATGTTATTGTCTGTGGTTTAGAGCTATGTAGTTGACTTATGATCATTCTTTTTTTGTTTGTTTGTTTTGGAGATGGAGCCTCACTCTGTTGCCCAGGCTGGAGTGCAGTGGCGTGATCTCAGTTCACTGCAACCTCTGCCTCCCATGTTCAATCAATTCTCCTGCCTCAGCCTCCCGAGTAGCTGGGATTACAGGCGTCCGCCACCATGCCCAGCTACTTTTTGTATTTTTAGTAGAGACGGGGTTTCGCCATGTTGGCAAGGCTGGTCTCGAACTCCTGACCTCAAGTGATATGCCTGCCTCAACCCCCCAAAGTGCTGGGATTACAGGCGTAAGCCACTGTTCCTGGCCGATAATTCTTAATACTTTGTTTTGCTTTAAAATTTTAAAAGTCATGGACTCTTGTGATTTTCTTTGTATTCAGTTAAAAAGTTTTAAAATGTGCATTGGTTCTTGGCATGAGCAAATAGCATCGTTGAAACTAAGAAATGAGTCCCCATTTCACTGCATCATTTACCTTCTTTTTATCTTCCTCATAGAAAATTAGGAGTTGTGTTTGAGACTGTTTCTCATGGCTATTTAATTCTTAATAAACTGTCAATAGGTACTGAACTGATGTCATTATATAAAGGAATGATGACACTGTTAGTAATAATAGGCAGTTGGTTAGGACATCTTTTTCAAAATGGTTATGGTATGAACTTAGTGTTTTCAGCTGACAGAAATTTTTTAAGGACTTACCTATAAACTGGGTTTATATACATATAAACCAAGTTTATTAATCCAAGTAAATTTTTCCATAGTAGCAAATGTGCAGAGATGAACACATCACCACAGCAGTAGTTTTTATATGCAGTTTAAAATTGTGCTCTCAGGGCCAGTATGACTAAAATAATAGAACTGAATATTTATATTCCCAGCTTTACCAAGGGTTCATTCTCTATGATTGTTTCCTGTAGCTACTAAGGATCAATGTATAAGAAACTGTTCAATTTATAAGAAAAACAAGAAAAGGAAATTGAGGGATCAAAACGCTGTGTAGGCATCTTTGGTAAACCTTGATATTATTTGGGGGAAAATGCCCTTGGAAAGTGTATGATGAGTAAACTGTTGTATAAAGAGACAGCTACTTTATAATAACTGGTGACAATGCATTTTCAATTATAGACATGTTTCATGTAGAAACAGCTGGAGAAATTTAAAGGGGTTTAGTTGAAAAGTTGTTTCCAAATGGAATTTGAAAATAGCAGATGCTTTAAGTGCATTTGACAGAATTGCATATTGAGGCTTCATTAATGCATACATGGTGTTTGGATGTCTGCTTTGCTAAACTGGTTTTCCTTAGTTTATGATATATTATATGCTGCCACTGAGAAACATGAGCCAACCATATTTTCAAATTCTTCGCTTTACCTAGAACTGCCTTTCTCTTTCATAACCTGAAGCCTAAACATTTTTCCTGAGTGTAGTATCCATCCATCTATTCATTAGTACACAGCAAGGTGGAGTTACTTGTCTAACTCAATGATTGAGAGTGACTTGCCATTTTAGAAGATAAAGATCAGAGTCATTCCTTGAACTATATCCTGAAAAATATTCCTCTCCAATATGATCTGCATTTTAAAACTTATTTCTTAGATACTTTTAGTTATGAGAAGAGTCCCTGAGGTTGTCCAAATCCATTAAAACCTAGGCACCGTTTCTCAGTGGCTTCATTCATTCATTCATTCATTCATTCCACGTGTTTGTACTCCATTCTTATACTCAGATGCTCATGCTGGCTCTTGAAAGATGAATGAGAAATAGTTTCTCTTCCCAAGTAGAAAGACACAGATAGACAAAGTGCTGTAATATTATGTGATGCCTTACTATATTTGAGGTGTGGTCAGAGTATCCTGAGAACACAGATGAGGGAGTAATTGCATTCCACGTGGACCCACAGATGACAAAAAGGAAGGAGTAACATCAGGAAATCTTCTAATGTCCTAACCTTGGAGCAAAGCCTTAAATTAAAGCTGCTTTGCATTTCCCAGTGTAGGAGTGAAGAAGGCAACCCCCTAAAAAGGGAATAATGGATGTAAAAGCACTGAGGTCTGCAAGAAAAAGCTCGATGAGAATTTGAGTGTGACTGAGCATAGGGCAGTGTGTGGAGAGTTGGGTTGGGTGTGAGCCTAGAAAAGTTGGAGAGCAGTTGATAAGGGCCTCATGAGCTGCTGAGATCAGGCTGTCTCTTCTGCATTATCAGATGGCTGTCGCAGGTGGAGACAAGTGTCCACTTGATTACAGGCAGTGATTACACAGACTAGGCTGGTTTGGAGACAGTTCTTTGGTAAGTACTATGCCATGTCACTGCTGAGCTGAAAGTCCTCTTGCAGACTCAGAATTTGAGACTGGCAGGGGAACTTCAGTTCATTTGTCTAGCTCCTTTGTTTTATAGAGGAACCATCTGAAGGCCAGTGAGATTAGGGAACGTCTTTGCTGACCTTTAATGTTTATTACATATTACATATTACATAGCTGAATAGTCAAATCAGAATTCACCCACATAGACTGTTTGGATAAGAAATGAGATAATACATGGTGATGGCTCAGACAAGCTATCATCCCAGTTTTAAATAACTCCTGTGAAAGAATGAGTTTTCCCCGGTAATGCAGTTTGTGGTTCTTAGAATTTAAAGCACACTCTTAAAATAGTATTTCCAATAATAAAAGAACCTGACTGTTGAAGACCAGAGCATTTAATGGTAATGGCCACACCTTTAAACCACACCCTCATTCATTCATTAACCCTCATTCATTCACCCAGTGGTTATTTACATCCAGCCACACCCTCATTCACTCACCCAGTGATGATTTACAGTGAGGGTGTGGAGATTCTGAGAGGTTGATATCCTGATCCAGGTCACACAGGTAATAAGTGATGAGATTGAGGTTCAAATCCATGTGTCAAAATGCCAGGCTTGATGCTATTTTCCTACACTTGAGCATCTTGAGGATGGAACTTGGATCACACCAACGTTTAAGAGGAGAGCTAAGAAGGAAGGTCTGGAGAAGACTGGCGGGTGTGACAGAAGCAGTAGAAGATTCAAGAGAGGAAGGACTCCTGGAAGGTGATATGAATGTGGCCACATTGAGGGGACTGGAGATCTTAGTAAAGCAATTTCAAAACACAGCTAAGGCTGGATTGCAGGGGCTGAGGAAGGTGAAGAAATGAAGTCTATTAGTGGTACTGCTGTGTTCAAGAAAGTGATGAGGAAAAAGAGCGGAGAGCCAGAAGTGAGGGAGGCAGCCCTGGGTGTCCGAGGGTGTTCCTGAGCGGTCAGAGCTGTGTGCAGAACTGTGTTGTGTACAGAACTGTGTTGGGAAGTCCATGCGCCAAGACTTCTAAGAGAAACATCAGTAGTGCAGAGTTTGGAAAGGCAATTCTGAGTGTACGTTTGTCTTGAAGTCTTTTAAATTGCAGTCAATCTACTGTCAGTTCAGTTGCTGATCCCTTGTAAGAAGAGGTCTCTGAAAGTTAAATGAAGTCATCTGTCAAGATATATAGACCCTTGATTGTTTTGCCAGCAAAAAGCTGTTTGCACGTCGTTATGAGGCTATATGGTATTCGTGGCTGTAGTTAGAAAATGATATCATAAATTAGTGCTTGGCTAAATGTTCTTAATTGGTTTCTATCCATATCGTTACTTTGTTCTGTCTCATGGACTTTGGGTTGTGTTTTCTGTCCTGTGTTTTGACCTCTACTGTTAATTTTGTTTTGAGATCATAAAAGGGCATGAGACTTCTTTAAAAACTCATTACTTATTGGCATGTTTTCATTTTTGACAGATGAGTGTGTTCCTTTAGGTTTTTAAAATATACATTCCCAACAGTAGCAATCACTTATTTTGGGGATTGGAGTTATATCTAAATCTCACTCTGAAGCAAAATTATAAGTTTCCCTCCTAAAATTTTGGCCTTTTAAGAATCATTTTCTTTTGATGTGAATTGTGAGTTGATTTCAGTGTGCATAGTATTTCATAGGAGATGTCTTCTCTCTTTTTGTGTGTTGAAATGCATTTTCTTTATTTCTCCATCTTTTCCTCATTTCTGGCTCAAGCTTTACTTACTATTCAGGGAAGAATCACTGAGCTTTATTCTCTCTATAATTCCTGGAGTTGCCAGAAAAGGACTAATCTATGTGTACTTTCTCTCTATGGGTACAACATCCTAGTCCTGTTCTGCTCTGCAAAATGTTTCAGAAACCAATTAATCTAAACCATTAATCTATAATTAATTGTGATCCCCCTCCCCATTCCAAGTGGTATTGTGCAAGTGGGAATTGTGGTGGCTGTGTGTTTAGACCTGCAGGAGGGCCCAATCATTACTAAATAAAGTGTCTCTGTTGCTTACTGCACAAGAAGACTGCTTTTATGCACCACATACTATGCTAGGCTCTGGGCACATAATGTAAGCAAATTGATGCAGTCCCTTCTCTTGAGAAGCTTATAGTTTATGGAAAAGCAATCTGCTCCAAACAATGTAGCAGAAAGGTAAACCAAGCCTAATAATAAGCAGGAGATATATTCCTCATTTATTATTGAACACATATTTATTAACTACTATGGGCCGGGCATTTGGGTGAGGGAGTGAAGAAAGCAGTGAAACAAAAGGGTCACAGTCCTTTAAGGAGCTCTCAGGCAATACCTTTGTTTATATCTGTTATTGGGTGATAGCATTGATATGTTTCATATTATTTTAATACATTTCATATATTTGAAATGCATGTTTATAATACTGAATCTGACCAAGAAGTTGGCAAAGTATATGAACTTAGTGATTTTCTTAGAAAGATATAAAATTAAAATATGACAGAGGGTTCCAGCTATCAAATTATACTTCCTATTTATATTCATTTTTCCTAGTCAATAATATTTAATAATAAACTGTAATGGACATGGTTGCCTTCATATATTCTATATCATTTTTTTATAGTTATTGCCAGTTTCCGAGGAACCGTTCCATATGGCCTGTCATTGGAAATTGGAGATACAGTTCAGATCCTGGAGAAGTGTGATGGTGAGTAGCCTTATGAACAACCTCCTCAACATACGACTGTTTATAAAGTCTACAAATTCTGTCCATACCGCTATTAATCTCTGGAACTTTTCCAATAGTCACAGCAAGTCATTTTTGACAAAATTGTTTCCTGCATTTTTAGTGTTTGGCTAATGGAAAGGCATCATTTCCTATTTTTAAGCTGATTATAATATTATTTCCTTATAGTCATTAGATGCAAACAGAGAAAGCAGTTGAAGCTACCATATCTGTGGGAGTTCTTGACTCAGTGCCAAACTGAAGGTTTTTCTCAGAATCCTCAGGATCTAGTAGATCCCACAGGATAGGAAGAAGCAGAGGCCCAGAGCAGACTTGGCTTACCTGAGGTTGAGTAGCCAGATGCCTCTGGAGGGCTCCTGCCCAGACCAACTCTGCTCCAGACCTATAGTTTCTTCCCCTCAAACTTGGAATAAAATTATTCAATGCACTTGAATTATTATTAATTTGTATAGTAGGTAACTCGTTTAAGATACCTAATAGTTCTCAAATGTTTCCATTCATGTTCCATGTAACATCCTTAAACACTAGTCCTTAAAAAGATTTCTCATCAAATGACTACTCTTTTTTTGTTTTTTTGTTTTTGTTTTTGTTTTTTGTTTTTCTTTGAGACAGGATCTCCCTTTGTCACCCAGGTTGGAGTGCAGTGGTGTGATCATGGCTCACTGCAGCCTCAATTTCCTGGGCTCAAGGGATCCTCCTGCCTCAGTCTCCCAAGTAGCTAGGACTACCGGGATACTCCATTATGCTTGGCTAATTTTTTTATTTTTTATTTTTTGTGGAGACGGAGTCTCACCATGTTGCCCATGCTGGTCTCAAACTCTTGGCCTCAAGTGATCCTTCCACCTTGGCCTTCCGAAGTGCTCAGATTGCAGGCATAAGCCA